TCACATCCCTCTTACATTCTCGTCACAGATTCACATCCCTCTTACATTCTCTCAACAACACAGTCACATCCCTCTTACATTCTCGCAGCCCATTCACATCCCCCTTACATTCTCTCAACACCACAGTCACATCCCTCCTACATTCTCGCCACACATTCACATCCCTCTTACATTCTCTCAACACCACATTCACACACCTCTCACATGTTCTCAACACCACATTCACATCCCTCTTACATTCTCTCAACTCCACATTCACACACCTCTTATATTCTATCAACACCACATTCACATCCTTCTTACATTCTCTCATCACCACATTCACATCCCTCTTACATTCTCTCAACACCACATTCACATCCCTCTTACATTCTTTCAACACCACATTCACATCCCTCTTACATTATCGCCACACATTCACATCCCTCTTACATTCGCTCAACACCACAGTCACACCCCTCTTACATTCTCGCCACACATTCACATCCCTCTATCATTCTCGCCACACATTCACATCCCTCGTACATTTGCTCAACAACACAGTCACATCCCTCTTACATTCTCACTACACATTCACATCCCTCTTACATTCCCTCAACACCACATTCACATCCCTCTTACATTATCGCCGCACATTCACATCCCTCTTACATTCGCTCAACACCACATTCACATCCCTCTTACATTATCGCCACACATTCACATCCCTCGTACATTCGCTCAACACAACAGTCACATCCCTCTTACATTATCGCCACATTCACATCCCTCTTACATTCTCTCAACACCACAGTCACATTCCTCTTACATTTTCGCCACTCATTAACATCCCTCTTACATTCTCTCAACACCACATTCACACACCTCTCACATTCTCTCAACACCACATTCACATCCCTCTTACATCCTCTCAACACCACATTCACACACGTCTTATATTCTATCAACACCACATTCACATCCCTCTTAAATTCTCTCATCACCACATTCACATCCCTCTTACATTCTCTCAACACCACAGTCACATCCATCTTACATTCTCTCAACACCACAGCCACATCCATCTTATATTCTCGCCACACATTTACATCCCCCATACACTCTCTCAACACCACAGTCTCATCCCTCTTACATTCTCGCCACACATTCACACCCTTCTTACATTCTCGCCACACATTCACATCCTTCTTACATTCTCGCTACACCACATTCACATCCCTCTTACATTCTCTCAACACCACAGTCACATCCCTCTTACATTCTCTCAACACCATAGTCACATCCACCTTACATTTTTGCAACACTCACATCCCCCTTAGATTCTCGCAGCACCACAGTCACATCCCTCTTACATTTTCGCCACACATTCACATCCCTCTTACATTCTCGTCACAGATTCACATCCCTCTTACATTCTCGCTACACCACATTCACATCCCTCTTACATTCTCTCAACACCACAGTCACATCCCTCTTACATTCTCTCAACACCATAGTCACATCCACCTTACATTTTTGCAACACTCACATCCCCCTTAGATTCTCGCAGCACCACAGTCACATCCCTCTTACATTTTCGCCACACATTCACATCCCTCTTACATTCTCGTCACAGATTCACATCCCTCTTACATTCTCTCAACAACACAGTCACATCCCTCTTACATTCTCGCAGCCCATTCACATCCCCCTTACATTCTCTCAACACCACAGTCACATCCCTCCTACATTTTCGCCACACATTCACACCCCTCTTACGTTCTCGCCGCTCATTCACATCCCCCTTACATTCTCTCAACACCACAGTCACATTCCTCTTACATTTTCGCCACACATTCACACCCCTCTTACACTCTCACCACATAACATTAACATCCTTCTTACATTCTCGCCACAAATTCACATCCCTCTTACATTTTCTCAACACCACAGTCACATCCCTCTTACATTCTCACCACATGACATTCACGCACCCCTTACGGTCTCGCCACACGTTCACATTCCGCCTTACATGCACCTCACATTCACATCCCTCCTCATATTCTCGCCACAACACAAGCACAGCTCGCCTTGCATTCTCACAGCATGACATTCACATTCCTCTTACATTCTCTCAATACCACACTCACATTCCTCTTACATTCTCACCACATGACACTCACATCACTCCTCACATTTGCTCCACACGATAGGCACGACACCCTTTACATTCACGTCTTTCCCTTTACACATGATAACCACATCACTAAATATACTCATGGCACATGACACCCGCACCACTTTGTACATTCATTTCACATTAACTCATAAAATAGCAGTTGTACAATTTCAGTTTCAGAAATCCCACAGATGGTCCTGGTTATATTTCTTGATCAGATAACGTGTGGAGTTCGGTTGTGCATCACTGTCTGCTACAATATCAGTGTCAACATGTGTTGTTGGATCATTGTTTAATGATAATCTATTGATATGCGTTTGACACGGACACAGTATCGAGTGAAACTGAAAGAACCGCCTTTAACAGCACCACTGACTTAGGAACGAATGTGTTGGTTGAAACATCCAAACAAACACGTTAAAGTACACATCACGTATGTATGCCATGATACAATGCCTCACTCACAAATATTATTTTGTTTTAGCTTTGAGCACTGAATACACGAACACACATCAATAAAAGGCAACGATCACGGATCGTTCTTACCAATACACAGTGCCATTTAGAAGCGGTTAAATGAACATGTTATATTGTCTTAGTAAAGTACAGATTATGTGCTAAAGTCTGTCTTACTGAGAAAGTGTAACCTCAAATATAACGTATGAATATGCTTTTTCGTTTTACATGAAATGTTTGGCTGTGAACGTTTTCTTTTTTCCAGTTAATGAGTTATATTAATTTGCTAAAGGTCTCAAAAGTCCCCATGGTCATCTCTTTGCAGTTAATGCTAAAGAATTGTGTTAGAACAATATTACACTTTCTCCCTTTAATGTTTCCGTACCAAATATATCATCTCTTCCATAACAGCAAAACAACCATTTTCCAAAACCCTCTTTCCTGTGCACTTGCATGATCTGTTTGTTATCACAATCCCCTAGTATGAGTCCACTCTTTCTAATTCTTGGAGGCATTAGAACTTAAATGTTAGAATGAAGGTTGGTTGCTTGTATGGAACAGGACACAAACTGATATGTGGCAGTGCTATTGATTGTGTATCAGTGACGAGTGTTTAGGGAAACACGGATTCAGAACCTAAAATCATAGATATTCTTGAGAATAGCGATCCTCTTTCAATATGCGTCCATAAATCGTAGATACACATGGAAGAGAATCGACTTTATAACACAAACTGGGGTAGTGTTATTCTTTGTGCAATTATCTTCCAAGTGTAATGAATTGTTTATGTGGATAGTCGTTGAGGGACATGGTTTGCTATATTTCGACTTGTGCTATATTTAATCAGTTATGAACGTTAGAACAGGGAAATACGACTCTACAGAATGTTTCAGTATATTCTGACCCAGGCAGTTGGAGAATCTCCTGCAGACATGTTCATAGGTATGTAAGAGGAGCTCCCTCTTCCTCTTATTCGCGTGTTACATCTTACAACCTACATGAAGAATAGCAGCGTGGACATCATTTGTACCCGAATACTCTGCCTATTTTGGAAACTGCAATGAATTGAATATTATCATCATTGTTTTCAGTGCTATAATCACTTCCTTCGTACCATTTGAATTTGTATTGCCATTCTTTTGGGTCTCTTTTCTTTTTAGTTATTTTTATTTCGCTTTTATATATGCATCTACCCTAATACCTTAGTAGTCATTGGCTATAAATTAGTAAACTTAGTTAATTTCATAACGCAACAGTTAATTACATCACATTTCCTTGTTGTTTGTTTTGTTTCAACTTGAGAATCAACACATAACAACGTGGAACAAGATTTCTGAGTTAATACCAAGGTCTCACGATGCTCTTATTTGTCTGCTGTAGCGTCTGACCCGTGAAGATCCGGGGTAGAATAGGTCTTCAGCATCCCATGCTTGCCACAAAAGTCGACTATGCTTGTCGTAAGAGGCGACTAACGGGATCGGGTGGTCAGGCTCGCTTACTTGGTTGGCACATGTCATCGGTTCCCAACTGTGCAGATCTATGCTCATGCTGTTGATCACTGGGTTGTGTGGTCCAGACTGGATTATTTACAGAGCGCCGACATATAGCTGGAATATTGCTGAGTGCGGCGTAAAACTAAACTCACTCGCTCACTGCTGTAGCGAATAACAAGGGGTCTTTAATATATGGCGTATATCTTGGACTAACATCTAACGTTTTTTGCAATTACAATTGGCTTCATACGGAGTTATTCAGAACTCATCATCATTTTTTGATATCCTAGTTGAACCCTGAAAAAAATGACTGCATGAGATGTGAAAACAAGGTTATTACCTATTAAATTATTGCATTGAAGAAGTAGTTGTTTGTCTTTTGGGGACAGATTATGTTATTATGTTACAATATATAAGAAAAATACGAGAGGCACCTACAACCCTTTTCACAGACGAGTTTAGTTCGCACCTCGTGCGGATTACACAGTGTTTTCAGTTAAATCGGTTATGGTTTCAAATGAAATTCAGAGCCTATCAGTTCGTTCTAACAATAATCTAATTATCAAACTCAGTATGTTTATCGTCCAAGGAGTTCTTGTTAATAACGGATGCAGAGGTCCCGAGTTCAGATAAATTGTGGGAGGCCTATTTCAGGTGTCTCATACTATGAGGGGCGGCGGGGTAGCCCAGTGGTTAAAGTGTTCGATCGTCTCTCCGAACACCCGGCTTCGATTCCCGACATGGGTACTCACTCACTCACTCTTGTTTTGGTATAACCGGAGTAATGCTATAAGCGGTGTAACACCATGCCCACTCACTCATCAAATACCATTTAGATACACAAGTGCCTCAATATAAGCAGAACAAGACAAAGAAAAACAACAACACAAGACAACATGCTGAAGACCTTATTTCACCTTCTGTTGCAGGATTACATGCAATCTGTTGGTGTGTGATATGGGGAAAACAAACATCTTACAGTTCCTTTTCACAAATAAAGTTTGATGGTTCTTGACATTGATTATCATTCCAGAGATAGTTTCCGTACCTCCGTTTTATCTCAAGACAGTGTTCGTTACCTCTCCAATTATCAGGTTGTCTTGGAGACCAGTTTGTGTACTTCATGCGGCATTGTCCTTCCCACAGCCATCTCCCCTCTAAGTTCAGATCAGAGGCACCAAGCCAGTAATTGATAGCTGCAAACAGGGGACAGCTGAAGGAATTCAGTATATCGATACCAAGAAATAGATTGTATACACTTATGTTAAGTTTTAACTACATGTAGTATCAACTGTCTAATAGAGTAGGTATAGGTTAAGAGAATTACCCGCTGTGTTTAGTAAAGGTAAGAACTGTAATGTTTCTGCTTACGATTCTCTAAAATCAGAAGAATATTGAAATCGATTATAATAAAAATACGTCATCAGTAATGTCTTCTCTGACTACTATTTATTTATTACCACACAGTCGTGTAATGAGAAATCAGTGATATCATTCCACACATTGCTGTAATATTGCAACACAAGCCCTGAGAGTCTCATCAAACATCCCTTAGGAACGGTTTGTCTCAGGCTGCACCTGCTGTGAGGGGTACGAGGTAAGGGTGCAGGCATGGGAGTGCAAGGTGTAATTAAAGCAGCAGGTCATATTAAAGTCTCACCTTTACCGCGACGGGTAGCATATCCCCTGATGTACGAATCTTCATCTCTGTTTGATATTGTGGCAAGGTGGCTCTCCAAGTATCGACAGTAGCCCTGAAAAGTACACTCCATTATTCAAACAGAAAACATTAGCTACCATCAGTGCATCTCTTTATTACATAAATACAGTAGACTAAAATTGTTCAGGTAAAAAAAATTGATATTTGCTCATATTTTTATCAGTGACAGAAAGGGAATTTGTACAAATCCAACTTTGCGGCACTTCCGGTGGCGCTCATGTCGACAGGGCGTGTGTGAGAGCCTCCAACGTGTATTCATAAAGTTCAATCTTGTACAGGATTGTGGGAGAAAGGTTGAAAACTTTATTAATCCTACACATTGTGATGTTCCTATTTCTGATCAAGACATTCTCTTTTGCAACAGTTCAGTTAGTCTGTTAGCAACACACATTGTCCAGCTGGCTTATCCATTGATTGTCTTGCTAATGTCGTCAAAGATGTGTACAAAGTAGAAAGAATTATTGCTTGTAAGAACAATGTTTTGCCTAAATTTCATTCCAAATGGAAACCTCTGAACAATGTATTACATATATTATAAAATCATACACTTGACATGTCCATGATTTTATGAGCGCTTCATTGTTGATGCTCTGAAAAACATTGATAAAAGTAATCAACTGTATACCTTCTGAACTGAAATGAATAAAAAAAATTGAAAGATCAAAATAAAACTTTACCACAATCCAAATATGAAAAAATAAAGGAACACTTGTGCTTTCATGTGATCCCTTATTTTTTTTCCCCAGTATATATTGGTCTGTCGAAAATAGTTTTACTTTATGTCCATATATTCTGCCGAATGCATTATTCTTTGCAATACAACTATATTTCGTCCCCGCTGGTGCAAATATGTCTAGTCACATAGTGCTCAATTGTTTGCATATTGTACTATACAATACAGACTTGTTGTTGTTATATTGTGTATAAGAGTTTGTTATTTATTCAGGGCCTAGATTTCCGAAGCTCTCTTAGCGCTGAGGTAGTTGTACGTTAATGTTAATGTATGACACTTACGACAATCTTGGCGCTAAGAGAGTTTCGAAAATCCAGGCACCGTACTTTAATCAGATTTTGTTGTTGAGCCTGTGCTGATGTTGAAATGTTGTGTAAGAGTGATCAGATGTATGTACCTGTATGATACGCTTACAATGTTAGAACCCGTCTGTTTTAGATATTTACTAGAGAAATACGTTCTTTATTGAAGACAATTGTATAAACTGCAAGTGATTCTATGGCGTTTGATTGGCTGACCAAGTAAGTAGAAGAAAACGGTCACATGCACAGACAACAGTTACTATTTGTTGATTGGCTGACAACTGTATGAGTGAAGCTTGTGTTGTAGTTTGCGCATTCATAACTACTCATGTCATTCCGGCAACCTGGATGGCGACTCGTACCCCTCTCGTGGCCATGTTCACGACTGGGCCTTGTCTAAAAGCAAAAGGTCAGGGAGATGAAAATTGTTTAGAACTATTTCCAAGGAAATATCACTTTCAATTACCAAACATTGTACTCCTAGAATAGCCCATATCCCGTGGGCAAAACAGTTATACACTCATTCCCTTCATTAAGATGTTTCAGTGTTGACAGTTGCTGATCCTTTAGTTCAAAGTTTATGTTTTAAATGTTCTGTGCATAGTTCAGAGAAGTTTCAAAGTTTGACGGTGCCGCTATTTTCATGCTTCGAAATGCGTTTTAATACGCGCGATTTGATTCCTTTGGCACGATTCTTGGCTATAATGGCATACTAGTCTTTTTGTAGGTCATGGAAAGAGGCGAGTAGTTACGAATGGTAGTTTGCCCTGAATGATGTCACTAATTTTGGGTCCTTGTCTATAGTTTGTAGTGTGTTGATTATTAATTATTATGATTATATATTTTTATTACTGACATATTCATTGGAGTTAATGTCAGCATGTTTGTACATTTATGCAGGTATTAACATAAAAAGGTGTGCACAATTATACTTTTCACATTGATACTGCCATAAATGTGGATACTATAGATGTCAGTTCTAAAATAAAACAAACAATTCAAACAGAGAACAGTATTTTAGTCATGTAAAAGGATTTGAGGTTTTTTTAACAGTGTCAAAATCGGGCAAAGAAAATTAATGGTTAATTTATATGTAAATATTCCAGATTGCCAAGATCTCAGGTGAACCATATCTCAAGAACATGAAATAGTTTTTATTTAATTTATGTTTTTTTATGAAATATTCTATCTTATCTATAAAAGGAAATATCTTTTGACAGAGTGAAAGGTTCATGACATGAACACAGTATTTTACTTCCCCTTTGCCAGATGTCTTCTGTAAAAATGACCTTGATGTCAAATTATACACTGACAAGTTTGGAATAAACGTATGAACAGAAAAAAAACAAACTTTGCGGCAATAACATTCCACTTTCCCAAATGTCAACATCTGCGTTTGGGATTTAAAAAGGCAGGTCTGATGAATATCCTCTTGCGACGAAACTCACCGGATAGTCAGCTGAATAGTCACTTACAAGATGCCACGGAGCTACGAAATACTGACATTTCTTGGTTCACGTCATCAAGTCGTCCTTTATGGGTGCTATCTGTATGTCATCGTTATATATTTCTTATGAATTTGAGACTTCTTATGTTAACAGCTTTTGTAGAAAGCTGGCCACGCAGTTTCTTTCGGCGCTATCCTTCTTGTTCACAAATTCATATGAAATTTTAATGGGATTTTACATTAATTACCCAAAGGCAAAAATACTATTTATTGCTTCGGTTAAGTTACACAGTGCATCAACTAATTCAAGTTCAAGACAAATATTCAAGTATTTTTCTATGAATGTGTCGTTCTTTGTTTTTCAGCACTATATCCTGTTTGCGCCTCAGAAACCGTATGTGACAATGTGCATGGAAAATAATATTTAGGCTTAATTGTTTTGGGTCTTTTTCAAAATATATAAAACGAATATCAACACTAAATGGAAGTATATATCAAATACGATATTTTATGTGTCTGAATCCAGTCAGACAATCCAGTGCTTAACCTCATGGGTGTCAATATTCTTAACTGGAACACAATGACACGAGTCAACCAAGTCCACGGACTGGACCAACCGACCCCGTTAGTCGCCTCTGATGGCGGGGGCTGGGTTGCAGTTCTGACCCGGACCTTACAAGAGGCCAAAATCTTTCAACTTACATTTTACCAAACCAATTACTTGAGGTGGTTTGATACTTTATTTATTGCATAAGTATGAAAGACTGAATTTTGTAAAGTCCAGAAAGGATATGTTTTTTACAATTCTAAACTCGTTCACTCACAGGTGGCAAGAATATTCAATTTCTGTGATACTAGGTGTTTTTTGGTGGCGTGGTAATTTGAAGCCCAGTGGGATACAGTATTTCATTGTCTCAGTTCCTTTAAATGTCAGAAGAATGTACATAATAGTCCTATAACACTTACTGCCGCCTCTGCAAACGAACTTTTAATGGTTGAGAACCAGTAGCAGGATCTTCTGTGTTGATGAAATCCTAGCGGGCATCCTGATAACAAATAATGTTAATCATACTTAACATCACCTGGAAACAAAGTAGAACATCTGTGAAACAGAAAGGTTAAAGTACTGGCAAAGGAAGGAGGGACAGCAGAAATGGGCTTTACATATTGTACCCACGTGGAGAATCAAACACGGTCTTCATGTCGGTACAAAGATATATACCCTTCAGCTGTCATCATATTTATTAATTGATGTAAAATATGCCAGAAAACCCCTTTCCTTGTATGGAAAAAAACGACTTAGATAGTAGATATTGTCTCTGCATCAGCGGACTTAGTGACATTGGGAGCCCGTGTAAACACCTGTCACAAACGCATGCAAAATCTAGTTCAGTCTTAAACTGTGAATATGAGGAATTCAAATGGGGAATTGTATAGGACACAATGTTTGTCCCTGATGAGTCCAGGCACCCTTGAAGAGCACACCAATGGCCCGTGTGGACCCGGGGACATATAGGTCCACATCACCTCATTGCTGATCATAAGACCGAATTAGGCAACGTGTTTGCCGTGGGTTGCGACCCTGTGTCAGTGGATGATAGGAGTCGGGTGGTTGAGGGCAATAAGAGCCTGGAACCGTGTTCCTTTTGCCCAGACACCACTTTGCGCCTGACTTCAGCTTGACGGGTTGTAGAATTGGCTCGATTCAATCAATCGGCTGGTCACGCGAAGCCCTGTCAATGGACAACAGTTGAGTTGAGTTGGGCTTTACGTCACATCGGCAGTATTCCAGACATATAGTGACGAGAACAAGTGTGCATTAATAAACATTGTACGTGCAGTGTCAAAATGAGTATATTTTATTTCAAAAACATATATTCATTATATTGTCATTTAAATTCTAACTTCACTATCAGATGAGTGCTCACGCGGGAGAACAGATCTTTCAGACTTGTTGCATCATAATGTGAGTCCCTTGCAGACAATAAGTCCACACAGTCAAGCAGAATATGCTTGATGGCGAAAACCTCATCGCAAGAGACACACATGGGGGGTCCATCCCCATCCGTTTTCAGCAGATAGTCATGAGTAAACCGACCGTGGCCAATACGACATCGTCGTAAAATTACCTCATCACGTCTTAACTGACAACCCAAGTAGGTATAGTCAATTGTTGGCTTCTGTTCATACTGTTTGTTTCTTCCTACTCGGGTGTACCACAAAATTCTTATGCAATTATTGTTCATTCTTTTGACAATGAATGTTTGTATTTCAAGTTATGTTATATATGTTATATATACATGTATATATGTCCTATGCCAGAAGGCGGTGGTTCATGGGCCAATCTGGTGAATAATGTATGCCTCCAAGTTCTTGTCAAGGGCCGAACCAGTCTGACATTAAATTAGTAGATAAATGCAGCTGTTCATGTAATATTCTCTGGAGTGTAACACCCCTGTATCCCTGGTGTCAGCATCTCGGAGGGGACACGAACAGGCTTTCGTCAATAATGTTTTTCGTCACTATGAGTCTAATCTTGAACATTTGATATAGCCCATCAACTCCCTATTGTAGTAAGCTTCAAACCTATGTTCATACTTCTCAAAGTCAGGCTTGCGATTCTGCACAATGTGGTCCCTCGTTCGACCGAATAGGTTTTGTACTTTGTTGTCGACAATGTGTCGTGCTACTGTTTCTGTTCAGTTTTGTAAACAAAGTATTCATGGCGTCACATTCAACGTCAATATATTTTGGTGATTTAAAGCGTTTAACACTCCTGTACGTCTCCAATTGATTGTCATGGACAGAACCATCCTGACCTTTAATCTGGTTGGTAGCTACAGCATTTCATGTCAAATTTGCTGGAGTATAACACCCCCTTATCCCTGGTCTTTGCAGCTTGGAGATCCGCTGCAATATAAGATCGTCCTTGTTGACACTCCATGGTGGGTGGGGAGAGTGGATCCCGAACCACATTAAAAACGACATTGCTTCCCAATAGCCCGGTTCAAAACGAAGACACATGGATTCCGACAACTCCTCGTCTGACGAGAGTACGCCCTTCCGACCTTCCGACTACTGGCCACGCTTCCTGATCATTGAAGCTTGTGACAAGCAACCTTTGCAACTCAACCCATTTGCAATCTCCAAAGGTATCGCTGGTATCTGCGCAGATGTTGCCAACGTTACAAAGCTCCGATCTGGTTCTCTCCTGATAGAATGTACTCGGAGACAACAATCCTTGAATCTCCTCAAAATACAAGATTTTGACAACATCAAGGGTAGATGTCTCAGCGCACAAAACACATAACTCGTGTAGAGGCATTGTACGGGACAGAGCTCGATGCCTGTCTGACATGACTGAAGAACAAACTGTCGAGGAACTCCCTCAGCAGTCCGTCACAGCCGTAAAACGATTCACTTTCAAAAAGGAAACCAACAAACACCTATCTCTTTACGTTCGCGCGAGCAAAGATTCCTGACTCAATTAGAGCTGGTTATTGTAGCATTGGTGTGGAGGTGTATGTCCCCAATCCACTCCGGTGCTACAACTGCCAAAAGTTTGGACATGGATCCAAGTCCTGTCGTTCCTCTGCTGTTTGTTACCGTTGTGGTGACAAGCATGAGGGCAATGACTGTACTAAGGAAGTGAAGTGCACAAACTGCGGTGGTAACCATATGGCCTCTTCCAAGTTTTGTCCAGTGGGGCAATGCGAATCCGAGATCCTAAAGATCAAGCACAAAGAAAAGACCTCCTTTCATGAAGCTAAGAAGAGGGTTGCAACTTCTTCAGCCACTTCAACCATCACCTACTCTTCTGCTGTCTCCCGTCCTTCTATCACTACTGCAACTATCTCATGTCAGACCGACCTGACATGGGTTATGTCTTCTCAGCCAACTCAACTCGACACAACTCAGCCCATCTCAGCCACTTCATCTCCAAAGCCAAAAGTCAAAACCTCTGAATCACAAACACCAGAACAAATGCCAAAACCAGAAACAGAAACTACTCGCAAAAAGAGGTGGAAAAAGAGGCTAGGGAGACTAAAGCAACTTGAGCAACTGCCAAACTCAAAACCAAAGGCCACCTCTCCTTCAGAGGTCCCCGTCGAGGTCCATAACTCCTTTGGCCCTCTGGATATGGAGGTAACTCCATCTCCACCTGACACCAATAGGAGTTCATCAAACGCTTTCTCACGTTCACGTGACATGTCACCAGTGGAAGCACCATGAATCCACAAAACATGATTCAATGGAATTGCAGAGGACTTAAGAATAATTATAACGAATTACAGTTATTGATTCAAGACTTCAAACCATCCGCGTTTTGTCTCCAAGAAACCTACCTAAAAGGACTGATAAATTTGACATCCGTCGGTACAGTTCCTACCACTCCTTTTCTCCTCCCGGTGTAAAAGCTACAGGAGGCACTTCTATCCTGGTGAGGCAGGGCATCCTCCATAGCCCTGTTCCACTTAACACCAACCTACAAACTGTTGCTGTCCGCATGACTCTGAACATAGGGTTTACACTATGTTCACTCTATCTTCCTCCCTCCTCAACTGTCCACCTATCAGATATTCAGAACTTGTATAATCAACTCCCAAAGCCCTGCATAATCATGGGCGACCTGAACGGCCATAACCCTCTATGGGGGAGTACTGATACAAATAATAAGGGAAAGGTCCTTGAAGATTTTCTCTCCAATAATGATCTATGCATCTTCAACGATGGATCAAACACCTATCTCCATCCTGCCACTGGAACATACTCTGCACTTGATCTATCACTTACGGATTCTAATCTCTTAAACGAGTTTGAATGGTCGGTCCACGATGACCTTTGTGGAAGTGACCACTTCCCAACTATTCTTACTCCTATCACTCCCGCGGATGAACCACCTTCAACAAGATGGAATTTTACTAAGGCCAATTGGCCATTATTCCAAACTCTCTGCTCTGAAAAGCTTATACCGGACAACTTCAGGAATGTTCCTGATCCCATGGAACTATTTTCTGATATCTTAAATACTATTGGAGACGAAACCATTCCTAAGTCCTCTGCAAACCCGCACATACGCAAACCATGGTTTGATACAAACTGCAAACAAGCTAGGAAAAATAGGAAGAAGGCGGAAAAATACTTCCGTCAACATCCTACTGTGCATAACCTGAATGCCGTTAAAATGACAAATGCCAGGGCAAGACGTACATTTAAACAAACTAAACGCCGGTCATGGAGGAAATATGTGTCCAAAATCAACTCCCGCACACCCATGTCCAAGGTGTGGAACATGATTCAAAAGATTAAGGGCAAAGGATCCAAATCTGGTGTTCGCCATCTCAAAGATGGTGACTCCCTTTTAACCAATAAAGTTGAAATTGCAAACAAACTTGGCGAAACTTTGGCAAACCACTCCTCCTCGTCAAACTATAACCCCAAGTTCCAGAAATACCAAACCCAACAAGAAAAGAAATCAGTCAATTTTAACTCTGATAATGGTGAGGATTACAATGAAACGTTTTCTCTCCATGAACTACGTACTGCCCTGGGGCAGGCTCACGACACTGCAGCAGGAGCTGATGATATTCATTATCAGCTTCTGAAACACCTTCCTGATTCAAGTTTGGAAACTCTACTCAATATATTTGATGACATTTGGACAACCGGCAACTTTCCTCCTTCGTGGCACAACGCCATTATCATCCCTATACCAAAACCTGGCCGGGATCATACCGATCCCTCAAACTACCGTCCTATATCACTAACTAGCTGTGTTTGTAAAACCATGGAGCGCATGGTCAACAATCGATTAATCTGGTACTTGGAGACCAATAACCTCCTTAGTGACCTCCAATGTGGTTTCCGAAAAAACCGAAGTACCATTGACCATCTGGTGCGTCTGGAATCTTTCATCAAAAATTCCATCGTCAACAAACAACATACTGTATCTATCTTCTTCGATTTAGAAAAAGCATACGATACAACGTGGAAACATGGTATCTTAAAAGATTTACATGAATTTGGATTGAGGGGCAGATTACCTCAGTTCATATCTCAGTTTTTAAACAACAGACAATTTCAAGTACGAGTAGGTTCCACATTGTCTGTTTATTTCCACCAAGATCAGGGCGTCCCTCAAGGCAGCATCCTGTCTGTCACCCTTTCTAGCATCAAAATTAACAGCCTCACTAACGTCTTGAACAGTTGTGTTGATGGGTCCCCTTTCGTGGACGATTTCAATATTTCATGCCGTGGTAAGAACATGCACGCAATAGAAAGGCAGCTACAACAAAAATGAGCCAATGAAAATGGCTTTAAGATTTCAAAAGCCAAAACAAATTGTATTCACTTTTGTCGTAAATACAAACCACACAAGGATCCAGACGTATCTTTATATGGTACTTCCATCAAGGTAGTAGAAGAGGCCAAGTTCCTGGGACTCATATTCGACCGTCACCTGACATTCTTACCACACATAAAATATTTGAAAACCAAGTGTGTGAAGGCTCTGAAAGTCGTTTCAAATGCAGAGTGGGGAGGGGATCAGATTACCCTCCTTCACTTGTACAGATCTTTGGTTCGCTCTAAACTAGACTACGGCTCCATTGTTTCTGGTGGAGCCTGCAATAGCAATTTAGAAAAATTAGATTCTATCCACCACCAAGGCCTGAGGCTCTGCCTGGGAGCTTTTAGGACCTCTCCGGTAGACAGTCTATATACAGAGGCTAACGGACCTTCCCTTGAACAACGCCGCATTAAACTTTCACTGCAGTATATCACTAAACTACGTTCAAATCAGTCCAATCCAGCATACAAATTTGTTTTCAACCCTCTCTATGAAAACTTACAACCAATAAAGATTTATATAAATACAAACTAATAGAATCACCACTATGTAGATTTTGCGATGTTGAAATAGAATCTATCATTCATTTATTATTATGAATGCAAACATGTCAAAAAGCTGTGACAAGATCTACTAGAATGGATTGAAAATGAAACAGACAACCATTGGAAATTAAACGCAGAAACCATTATTCTCGGTTTCAAAGAGAGCAGAAATGATGCACTGAATTTTATTTTCATATCAAGTAAAGAGTACAGATATTCTAGAAATTTAGCAAACATTGTACCTTCTCTCGCTGGTCTGAAACCAAAATTGAATTACATTTACCACTTACACAAATTTAATGCATACTCTCACTGCAAGTACGACACTTTTGTTACATTTTGGTCGTCTTGCCACAATCTATTTACATAGATAATGACTTTGTAATTTGACTCCTATATAAAGCAACAAAAATGCTGACTTCTTAAATGTGCATTAGGAAGTAAAGTGAAAAAACAAAAAACAAAACAAAAAAGCAATCTTAACTGCACACCGACCAACAAATCATATTATAGGACATCGGCAGGTTTGGACAATCATAACTCCAGAGACCAGGATTGCACTCTTTGGTCAGTTAGCCACTGCCATTGCAGAGAGAAAAGCTGTAGCCTAGAGTGTGAACAAGATTTTAGGATCCTACCCATATCTTGGTATCACACTAAAGTTTTGGAAAGGGAATCCTTGACGAATGAAACAGTGAAAAGAGATACGAAAATACGCCTATAAAAAGTTGAACACTGGCATGGGTTAACACAATGTAACGCTTCTCGCGTCTTTGGTTTGATAAGCACTGCATGGAATCAGTAACTGATGTTCGGGTCAGCTATTCACGTAACATGCTGATGGTTGACAGAGTTCCACCACAGAGCTGGATGACACGATTCTGGTTGTAAGAAACCGTCATATTTTCCAGATTGCCACCACACTTACAAATGACCTGCAGAACGCCAATGCTTTGAAAGTTTCAACTCACGCAGGGCATAATCCTGTCCATGAGTCAGCTTTCTGCATGCGTTAGTTGGAGGTGTTTAAAGACAGCAACGATTGGACAGATGAGGACTGGTATTCACCACTTTTCCCTGGTGAACCGAGATATTGTCTAGACTTCACATATCAAAGACATAGAAAAGGATTCATTACTGCTCTGTCATGATTTGGGATGGGATGAGAAGAGTTTGGAGAACATATCCCCATGTCCTTCAACGGGTCACGATGACTACAGTAGCCTTCGGAGATGACTTTACAATAACGTGGATGTCATGGTTATTGAACATTTACGTGTTTAACACTTACACTGAAATGATATGCTGAACTACTCTGGAAACCCATCATCCAGTTACTATCGACCATGGTATATGCAACACGAAATTCGAACCCAAACTATGCTTGAAGTAATCTGACTATGACAGATGAAAGTGATGCACACCGAGAACTACGTGCATCCTTGTGTGATCACGTGACAAAACATTTGCTAAAAATCACTTTTCCACCTGCAAATCGGGTGAAAATGTGTTTATCACCTGTTGAGAGAACGAGCTGTGTGGTTTCTTGAGACTGGTTTGTCTGCATGTTAATTCGGGTTATCACAGCACGTACAAGAAATTGGCACAACGCGTGGTCAACACCAGCCTGAGGTTGTCACATCGACCTCACTCATTTAAGAAAAAGGTTCAAGCCAGCCTAGAGAACAGACACAACCATTGGTGGATGAAGGAGTTGCAAGTCCAGTTTAGGTTATCATTGTGACAGTTTTGGGTATCATATTTAGGCATACCTAGGCTAATGACTAAGTGCTATAGAATGTAATACTTACCATATTCAGGTCAGTTTAGACTAATTTGGCCTTTTGTACTTTTCAGTTTTTCACCCTCACCCTTCGCCACCTCCTCCACCTACCTTTGGTGCTAAATATTAACATCTTGCAAATAAAAGGGTTCGCTATCCACAATGGTGCCTCTAGCCATAACAAGTTCCAGACACAACAATAAGTATCTTACAATGGATGGGATGCGTGAAAGCAAATTCTACAATGGCTATGTGAAATGCTCGAATTTGATTGGTAAATCAATAAATTCAGACGATATCAATTTGGATTGACAATGCGTCTGATTTCACGGCGCTTCACTGCGCACGTATACATCACTGCCGCACTACTTCAGCTTGACCACCAACATGACTAATATCAACACATCAGACATGATGGAAATGCTGATGAAACTTTTATTAAAACTCGAAAATACAGTTATACGATATCCCCCCCCACAATTATTAGGGAACGTCACTATCATAATTTTAATCTTCTATTAAAAAAATATTTTTAACAAAAGCAAAATAAATCCTTGACCGCATGTGTAAAGTGATGGATGGGGATGCTCCTGACTATTCCACAGTTTTACGTTAGTCTCTACAGTTTATTGCCGATGCGATGTAAAACTTTAACTCACTCACTTTAACTCTCTCTACAGTTTTTAAGGGGTAGGGATTCCATAGACAATGACCCAAGGCCAGGCAGACCTTCAGATGCCTCCCAACTGAAAACCATAGCCGCAAAAGAAAGACGAAATGTGCACCCCCTACCCATTTATGTCAATCCATGCTAAGCATTTGTTTAATAAATGACTTGTTAGGTTGTTTTTTTTCCTTTTCGTGTTTCCTACGCTTTACTTGTTATTATTAATGCATTTTAAGATCAAAATGTGCTTTTGGTTTCATCAGTCGCATCTTGCAAACTAGACGACTACAATTTTCCACTTTTACTGGTAATGACAGTATAATTACGTGGAAAAAATGACTTCGTAACACAACATGTGGCAGTGTTGCTCAGTGTACAACAATGTTCCAAGTGTAGTGCATCGTGCACATGGATGGTCAGTGAGGGACAGTGGTTTGCTGTAATTAGACTCGTACTATTCTTGAACAGTTATGGAAGTTGGCACTATGTTTCAATATTCTCTGACCTAGGGAGTTTGAGAATCTTCTGGAGTCATTTTCGTAGGTACATCAGGGGATATAGTTCTTGCTCTTAATGCCACATTATACCTATGACGTCATTCTTACCCAGGATACTTAACCCTATGTAACATATGTTATATTTGGGATTACACTTTCTTAGTAAAGTACAAATTCTAGTACTTTTTTTGAGTTGAGCCCTATCCGGGATTCGAACTCACACCCTCAGAGTCAGGCACCTAATCGCCAGCACACAAAGTCAGCCGCCTAACCTATTCAGCTACCGCGACTTCCACAAAAATGGAAGTCGGACAACTGGTAGTCTGGACTGCGGGCTTTGTGTACCCCTCTGATAGGTGTTAGTTGGCACGGTTCCCACGACCGAAAGCTATCATTACACAATGCCATTTAGAAAGTGGTTAAATGTAACATATGTTATATTTGGGATTACACTTTCTTAGTAAAGTACAAATTCTAGTACTTTTTTTGAGTTGAGCCCCATCCGGGATTCGAACTCACACCCTCAGAGTCAGGCACCTAATCGCCAGCACACAAAGTCAGCCGCCTAACCTATTCAGCTACCGCGACTTCCACAAAAATGGAAGTCGGACAACTGGTAGTCTGGACTGCGGGCTTTGTGTACCCCTCTGATAGGTTTTAGTTGGCACGGTTCCCACGACCGAAAGCTATCATTACACAATGCCATTTAGAAAGTGGTTAAATGTAACATATGTTATATTTGGGATTACACTTTCTTAGTAAAGTACAAATTCTAGTACTTTTTTTGAGTTGAGCCCCATCCGGGATTCGAACTCACACCCTCAGAGTCAGGCACCTAATCGCCAGCACATAAAGTCAGCTGTCTAACCTATTCAGCTACCGCGACTTCCACAAAAATGGAAGTCGGACAACTGGTAGTCTGGACTGCGGGCTTTGTGTACCCCTCTGATAGGTGTTAGTTGGCACGGTTCCCACGACCGAAAGCTATGATTACACAATGCCATTGAGTATCTGTATCATAAATTGTAACTATGTAATGTGATGGCGGATTACTTGTTTTTGAATTACATATTCTGTTTGTAAATAATAATGCAATGAATATATGTTTTTAAAAACTCATTTGGACGTTGTACTTAGAATGTTTATGAATGCAGGCTTGATCTCGTCACTAAATAGCTGGGATAATGCCGATGTGACGCAAAACCTAACTTTACAACTAGCTGACTTTCCATTTTCTATTAATGTTCTTAGTGAACTATATTCCTTCCATCACACCATCTGAATATAATGACCAGACACGGGGTTTACAATGATCGTAGTTACGGACCCTTTACATGAGGGTTTATAACGGTCATTGGGATGTCAGGATTTATAACAGTTATTATCAAAGTTTAATCCACTTCCTACAAATGTTCAAGTGGAGTGTGTAAGTGTGGGTTGCGATTTAAGTCACATGGCAGTATTTCAGCCATATATTTCCAGAAAATGGTTATAGATTCAAAATTAATAAAGGTAAATATGAAAACATGTCAACGAAGACAGTTAAACGACTAGAACATCCCACATACAAATGTGAAACTATTATGTAAATCTAAAACATTTAAATATAGAAAACATTACAAATCATATAAACAGGCAATAGTGGGTGAGTGACTGAGTTCAGATTTTAAGTCACATCGGCAATATTTCAGCTGTATCGTGACTATAAACAAGTTATTAATTCACCATAAATACATATTAATGATAAAAACCTGCCGACGAAGGACAGTAAAACCGACTAGACTATCACAGATATATAGCTAAAACTAGTAATTAAATCTAAAATATTTTAGCTATAGAAGACGAAACAATATAAAAACAGGCTATTGATCGCCAACAACTGAAGGTAGATCACCATACTAAGGACCATGGGGACTTACAGTATATTTGCTTCTTGCATGTACACCAGTTGGATTTACACCATCCCTTCAGATGTTAGCAATTGTATATAAATCTAGCCATGAATTAAAATAACACATATAGCACTAGAAATCAAGAATCAATATTGTGGTTGGATTCCTCATCACTGCAGCATCTGAATCGATGTGTCTTCTTTTAGTTTTAGATCTTGAACCAGTGGGTAGTTGGTTAGACAAAATGATGAAGCATATATCCAAGAACTGCGCCCCACCCACCATGGAGTCTCATCAAGAACGGAACTGTAGCGGAGGCTGACTACAATACAGATACCAGGAATACCTTGATGTTGTACTCCAGCAGGAAGGACACAGGTAGTTACAATAGTCATAACAGAGAAGAAGGCACTAAACAGTTTTCTGATGCCAGATTGGTCCATGAGCCACCGCCTTCTAACACAGGACTCTAAGCAAACTTGTAATATAATCGAAATTTGTTGGTTTCCATATTAACCACGTGAAATATCTGTATACAAACTTAAATGAACCATGCTCAGGGAATAGGGTGAAAAGCCGATTGAATATGACAAAAATAGCAGCATTTCTATAACAAATTATATGTCAGGCTGGTTCTGCCGATGGCAAGAAATGTGATTCACACTGAATTTGGAGGTGAACATCACCAGATTGGCCCTTGAGCCACCGCCTTCTAGCATAGGACTCTAGGCAATTTATTAATCAATAATGTATAAATTGGAAATAGAAAATGGCCGAGACTCCAAAATGAGTTGAGTGTGCAAAAATGTTCCCTATGTACAGAGCTCTTAGATTTGGATAGAACCAGGCACATTTTACCACCAGTCTGTTGGAAGTCAGGGTCAAAGTGGTGTGTTGGAAACTGTTTCTGGCTTCTGTGCCAACCACCAAAAATCTCTTCCTCCACCGACACAGGGATCAACGCACGGAAACAGGTTTATACATTAAATAAACTGTCCGTGGCTATCATAAACTAAACCTGGATGTCATGGCCAATGAGAATTTACGTAAACCAATAACCTCCTTAGTGACCTCCAATGTGGTTTCCGAAGTACCATTGACCATCTCGTCTGATCCCGTCCAGGCTTTGGTACAGGGATGATATTTAAATGGCATTATGCCATGAAAGAGGAACATTTCCAGTTATCCAAATGTCATGAAACATATGTTTCCGTCAGGAGGGTCTGAAGAAGCATCAACTATACCTTGTGGATTGATTGGCAGAAATTGTATACACAGTCGACTCCGGGAAGCAATCAACATGTCATGGTTACTGAAATTCATAAATAAATCAAGAAAATAGTTACCTGCATACGTGGTGGCCACAAGGCAAAGCAGGACAGACAGGACTTCGACTTGCATTGCAGCTGACTCCAACTCAGCAGCACACAACGCCGTGTGTGCAGGGGGACTGACAACTCGGACTTTATACCTGGCTGCAAAACGTGGTAGGTCCGGGACAAAGTCAGCGGTTCCGGAAACGTGCACGAAGCTAACAGGATATTTGCAATATCCATTGCAGAAAGGTCACTGTAATCGCAACTCATGTACTCAAATTTCTAGCTGGACAAAAGACTCCGTGGTGTGTAACAAATGGCGTTGTCACTGTCGCTGACCGCTGTGATACCGTGAGTAAAGGGATGAGTGGGTAGATTCTTATCACATCTCACTGATGGTGGTTGGCAAAATCAATGTTGATGGTCTCAGTAAAGCTAACATGTCTGTGACACCAGGCTAAATCAAGCAATCTATAGACACAACTCTCTTACTGACATATATATTTAGTATTTATATAGCTTGGTTTTAGGGTTTTTAAATCAGTTATCAGCTAAACAACAGCCGATGTGACGTTCAATTATAACTCACTTAGAACAACTGATAATTTTAGGAGCACGTACCCATTGTCTCTTTTTTAATTGGTGTTGCAAGAAAAAGAAGAACAAAATTATTGAACTGGCGTTTGTTGTATTACCTGCTCATAAGTTTTCATTTTATCTTATCATACTTGTTATTACTTGATACCATTTCATTTTTTTAATACCAATGACAATATCTGCCACATTTGTTCAGGCATATGAATTGTTAGTTTATACGATTTTTTTGTGAGAATTACAGCATTCAAAATTTTGTCAAAACTTTCAGATAGATATATGTTAATTATTAAAAGGACATGTCCACATTTTCTTATTCATCACAAACTGATATCTGATTCAAATCATTTATATGATTTGTAATATATGTTATAATATTTTCCGAAAGTCGTAAGAAATCTCTGCATTGTCAATTGTATCAACTAGACAATCTCAAAGGCTCTGGTTTAATTATGAATCTCTCTCAATTATCGGTGGTCGCAAAGAGGTTTACTGTTTCAGCAGTTGCACCGGGAAAAGGTATGCAACGGTCAGTTCATGTTTCTCCCGAGAAAACACTGAAGCACTATGGTGCACTTAAAACCACAGAATTGCTTCGCTGTCATGTTTGCTGTCATGTTTGCCACTGATGTCTCAGTTGATATCTTCCCTACACAAGGTCAATCTCGACATACGTACACGCACACCCTACATTCAAATGTGCAATCACGTTACTTCATTCGACCCTGTTAGCCACTTACCACACCCACGTGTAAGAAAACTACCCCGACATCACCAACTGCACTCACGTCACAAAAGATCCACATCACAGAGTATGTTCATGTCACATGACAACCACATGTCCTACTATCAATCAATCAATCAATCAGAATTTATTTACTCTAAAAGAGCTAAACACAAATTATATGACATATAAATCACCACCAGCAGTCAAATAACATAAAAAACAAATTTTTACATTCACGTCACATTACAACCGTCACCAACGTTCCATTACATCAACACATCTCTCACTGAATTTCCATGACAGAAACTCACACTTCACCGCCTTCATAAAACACTCCTTACACTTATTCTTTTCACATGACATTCACTTCACTCCTTACATTCTCGCCACATGACATTCACTTCACTCCTTACATTCTCGCCACAGGACATTCACTTCACTCCTTACTTTCTCGCCACATGACATTCATTTGACTCCTTACATTCTCACCACATGACATTCACATCAATCCTTGCATTCTCACCTCGAAACATTCGCATCCTCTTCACATCCTCGCCACATGACATTCACTTCACGCCCTGCTTTCTCGCCACATGACATTCACTTCACCCCTTACACTCTCGCCACATGACATTCACTTAACTCCTTACATTCTAGCCACATGACATTTATTCACTCCTTGCATTCTCGCCACATGACATTCACTTCACCCCTTACATTCTCGACACATGACATTCACATCACCCTTACATTCTCACCTCGAGACATTCGCATCATCGAGACATTCGCATCATCTTTACATTCTCCTTCCATTCCTCGAGACATTCTCGTCACATCGCATTCACTTCCATTCCTCCTTCCATTGACATCGCTTCATGCCATTCACGTCACTCCTTCACATGCCACATGACATTCACTTCATCCCTTACATTCTCCACATGACATTCACTTCACCTCCTTACATTCTCGCCACATGACATTCACATCACCCTTTGCATTCTCCACATGACATTCACATCACTCCTTACATTCTCGCCACATGACATTCACATCACTCCTTACATTCTCGTCACATGGCATTCACTTCACTCCTTGCATTCTTGCCACATGACATTCACTTCACTCCTTGCATTCTCGCCACATGACATTCACTTCACTCCTTACATTCTCGCCACATGACATTCACTTCATGACATTCTCGCCACATGACATTCACTTCACCCACATTCTCTCGCCATGACATTCACTTCACCCCTTACATTCTCGACACATGACATTCACATCACCCTTACATTCTCACCTCGAGACATTTGCATCCTCTTTACATTCTCGCCTCGAGACATTCTCGTCACATCGCATTCACATTCCTCCTTCCATTCTCGCTACATGCCATTCACGTCACTCCTTACATGCTCGTTACATGACATTCACTTCATCCCTAACATTCTCCACATGACATTCACTTCGCTCCTTACATTCTCGCCACATGACATTCACATCACTCCTTGCATTCTAGCCACATGACATTCACATCACTCCTTACATTCTCGTCACATGGCATTCACTTCACTCCTTGCATTCTTGCCACATGACATTCACTTCACTCCTTGCATTCTCGCCACATGACATTCACTTCACTCCTTACATTCTCGCCACATGACATTCACTTCACTCCTTACATTCTCGCCACATGACATTCACTTCACTCCTTACATTCTCGCCACATGACATTCACTTCACCCCTTACATTCTCGACACATGACATTCACATCACCCTTACATTCTCACCTCGAGACATTTGCATCCTCTTTACATTCTCGCCTCGAGACATTCTCGTCACAAGGCATTCACATTCCTCCTTCCATTCTCGGGACATGACATTCACGTCACCGTTACATTCTCGCTACATGACATTCATGTCACTCCTTACATGCTCGCTACATGACATTCACTTCACCGTTACATTCTCGCCACATGACATTCACTTCACCCCTTACATTTTTGCCACATGACATTCACTTCACTCCTTGCATTCTCGCCACATGACATTCACTTCACTCCTTGCATGCTCGCCACTTGACATTCATTTGACTCCTTACATTCTCACCACATGACATTCACATCACTCCTTGCATTCTCACCTCGAGACATTCGCATCCTCTTTACATTCTCGCCACATGACATTCACTTCACCCCTTACATTCTCGCCACATGACGGTTAGAGCGTCCGCCCTGAGAGCGGAAGGTCGCGGGATCGATCCCCGACCGCGTCATACCAAAAGACGTTAAAATATGGTACTTGTTGGTCCCTGCCTGGCGCTCGGCACTCATGGGTACATCAAGGACTGGTAGGCTCAGAGTCAGTATAATGTGTCTGAGTGGGGTATTCATGCTTCACTGCGGCGTGGTATCTCAGAGGGCTGGCACTATAAAACCTGCCTAAGTCTGGGCTAGTACAAGCAGCCGCACATATACATACACACGCACGCACGTCGTCATATGAGCGAAATATTCTCAAGCAAGACGTTAAATCCAATTTCGCCTCACCTCACCTCACCTTGCCACATGACATTCACTTCACTCCTTGCATTCTCGCCATATGACATTCACTTCACTCCTTACATTCTCGCCACAAGACATTCACTTCACTCCTTACATTCTCGCCACATGACATTCACTTCACCCCTTACATTCTCGACACATGACATTCACATCACCCTTACATTCTCACCTCGAGACATTTGCATCCTCTTTACATTCTCGCCTCGAGACATTCCCGTCACATGACATTCACATTCCTCCTTCCATTCTCGGGACATGACATTCACGTCACCGTTACATTCTCGCTACATGACATTCATGTCACTCCTTACATGCTCGCTACATGACATTCACTTCACCGTTACATTCTCGCCACATGACATTCACTTCACCCCTTACATTTTTGCCACATGACATTCACTTCACTCCTTGCATTCTCGCCACATGACATTCACTTCACTCCTTGCATTCTCGCCACATTACATTCACTTCACTCCTTGCATTCTCGCCACATGGCATTCACTTCACTTCTTACATTCTAGCCACATGACATTCATTTGACTCCTTACATTCTCACCACATAACATTCACATCACCCTTACATTCTCACCTCGAGATATTCGCATCCTCTTTACATTCTCGCCTCGAGACATTCTCGTCACATGGCATTCACATTCCTCCTTCCATTCTCGGGACATGACATTCACGTCACCGTTACATTCTCGCTACATGACATTCACGTCACTCCTTACATGCTCGCTACATGACATGCACATCACTCCTTACATTCTCGCCACACTGTAAGTCCCCATGGTCCCTAGTCCCGTTTTTATATTGTATTGTCATTTATAGTGGAAATATTTTAATTTAGTTACTAGTTTTAAATGGATATATGCGATACACTAGTAGTTTTTCTGTTCTTCGTCAACAGGTATTTAATTTCTAACTTTATTGATCTTATATAATAATTATAACTTGTTCTCGTCACGATATGGCTGAAATATTGCCGATGAGACGATAAATATTAACTCACTCACTCTCGCCACACTGATGACCCACGACAACCGCACCACTAAGTACACTCACCTCACATAAACTCATAACAAATGCAGTTGTACAATTTAAGCTTTCAACAATCACACAGATGGTCCTGTTTTCTGAGCAGATAACGTGTGGTGTTCGGTTGTGCATCACTATCGGCTATACAATCAGTGACAACATGTGTTGTTGGATCGATGTAACATGATAATGTTTTGATATTCGTTTGACACGGACACAATATCGAGTGAAACTAAAACAACAGCTATTAACA